TTGCGGCCGCCGTGGATCAGAATCTTCTTTGTCAGCTGCCACTCGGCCCTGGCGTCTCTTGCTGTTCTGCTATCCGCCAATTTGCTGCCAAGCTCGTGAAAGTACTGGTTGCGGTCGGTACTCAGCTGGTGTCTGAACGTGTCCTTGGTGTGGGCGATGAAGAGCCTCGCAGCGTCATGCGTGATGCCGAGGCAGTCGGTGGTGTGACTGAGCTGGCACGCTCCAACAAGGGCTGCCACGGAGCAGTACCAGCTATCTTCCACACGGGCATAGACAGGCGCCTCGTGGCAGAGCCTCGTGCGGAAAACTTCTAGAGGTGCTGGGTCCCCGTTGTTCGTGTAGGTCCGCGTGGAGCTCTCGGCGTATCTGCGCAGCCTCAATAGGCGCATGCTGGCCTCTGAGATTGTGACGTTGCAAGGGGTAAGCGGGTCCCGTCCGAAATGCTGCTTCGTCTTCTCGACAAGGAGTCCCGCTGTCTCGTGGTAATGGTCGTTGACGTCTGCCTTCCACGGTGGCAAGCTGATGTTGTTCAGGTCCTGCTTGAATGCGGTGATGCGCTCTGGGTTTTTGAGTTTGTTAGTATCCAGTAGCCCGTTCCCCTTCGAACTTCGGTGGCGCCCGATGATTTCGCCCACAACTTCAACTAGCACGGGCATGTGGTCTGTGGTCGTGTCGTAGCCGTTCTGGGCGTAGTTCTTCCTCTGCTTGTTGTGCTCGTTCTTCTTTTGGGCGGTTGGCTTTTGAAAGTCTCTCAAGACAGTGCAAGCCGCCACGCACTTGAACAGGCAGGGGGCCATGGCGACGTAGTCGATGCGGTTGGAGATTCCGTCCTTGTGGTATGTGTAATCGTCGCTGTTCCCGTAGTATGTGTTGACGACGTGCAGGTGGCAGCTGGCGACAGACTCGTGGAATTCGTGTCCATTCTTGTCTGTCAGCTGATTTGGACCTTTCTGGCCCAACCATTGAGTGTCCTCTCCGTCCTTGTGGCTTAGCTTGGCGTTCGCGTCGATGAGCAGGATTTCTGGTTTCCACGTGTCACACAGCTCCCTGAAGTGCTCCCACCAGCCGTTGATGTCCTTGGCTCTCTGGCACGGGGCATGATCAACGGCGATGACGTGATGGAACAAAGGAGCCTGCACGCGGACAAAAAGAATCCTGGCTGACGAGTACAGTTTTGTAAGCTGGGACTGCTTGAAGTACAGGTCTTTCCGTTTGAGCTGCCCGTACGGTAACTCGACGTTGAGTAGTAGTGCACATCCCCAGTTGCCGTCCTGCGCATCGCTCTGTACGTTGATAAAACCTTGCCCTGTCCATATGGCCTCTCTACAGCGTGTCTCCTGCAGCCCCGCGACGTGGACATGATGGTCCAGGAGCTGGGCTCTGACTAGAGCCCCTTTACTGGAGATGTCCAGGTGCAGGTCTGTGGCGGTGAAGTCGCCCACCATGGACTGAGCGTTGTACTGCACGATGTTGAGCTTCAGCGTGCCCTTGTTGTAACTATCTGCGGCGAGGTCGGGGATGTGGTCCGCGTCAGCCCGCTGGGGCGAGACGTGCTCCTCGAGCTGTCCATGCCTCCACGATGGGTACGCATGTAGGTCCTTGCCCGCAGGATTAGCCATCCAAGCCCATTCGAGTGTGCTGGTATACCGTACTATATCGACTAGCTCTTCCGCAGGTGGTGGTGGCGCTGGTTGGAGTGCTGCATATGTTGATAGAATATCTGCTGCTTCATTCCAGGGTGCGTCTCGATGCGCATGAGTGTGCTCGAAGCTAATGTCCTTTGTGAGCTGTAATTGCTGGAATAATATGCGTGTAAACCTCGCAAGAGGGCGGTTCCTAGTCGATCTGATCCGCGATGTTCCAGCTGCCGCTCCCAAAGCCGCGGTGTTGTCTCCGATAATGGCGACTTCCTGCTCATCGTCCTCCTGTGTACATGCGATGCCTGCCCAGAGTAGCGCTCCCAATTCGGGGCTGGTGCTGGAGGTGATGTTGTTGGCCATCTCCTCGCTGACGGACAGGGCGTGGTTGGAGTACATGTGCCTGTAGTAGGCAATGCCCTGGTCGTCTTCTCTCAGATGTACCGCTGCCCATGCTGATGTACCCGGTGCTTTGGCGTGGTAGGACGCGTCAGTGAAGTAGTAGTGCCGCTTCACAGCCGACAAAGGTCTCGAGGGAGCAAGGTGCTTCACCGCCAGCCTGGTATGCTCGTGCAGGTCGTGCTCTTCGAGGTCATAATGCCATATCAGCTTCTGGATGTGTTGCTGAAATTGCGTCGGTAGGAACTGTGGGGATCCAATGTTGAGAAAGCGTCGCTGCGTGCTGTTGCTGTCTCTGCGCTGGTCGGTTTTGTGCGCTTGCCCGTGTGTTGCTGGTCTAGTTCTTTGTCGTCGTCTCCTTCTGCGCTCGCAGCGCCGGTAGTCGTCGCTGTACTCGCTGTCAGTGCTGGTGTGTTGGCTAGTGCGTTGGTTGTCTCGGGTGTCTTCCGCAGTTGTGCTCCGCCTGGTTGGGATGCGGAAGGGGTGCATGGCTGAGGTTGTGCGTCGTTGTGGTGCAGAGCTGGATTGTTGCCGCCCCGTCGGCTGCCCGCTAGCTCCGTGGTAGCTCCTGAACGGCAGCATTGCTCGTCGGGGATGTACGTCCCTCTGGGGCTGGGGGTGCTGTCTGGCGTTGGTCGTTGTGTCTGGGAGTGGTTGCTCGGTATCCAAGTAGTCGGTCGACTTGTAGGGCTTGGTCCCCGTCCGCGTCGTGCTCCTTTCTCGTGGGGACGGCGTCTTTTGGCAGCACTTCTCATCGGCGTTCAAGTTGTCCGATCCAGCCCGCACGGCCTGACTGAACAGGAGCTCGTGTGATTGGGCTTGGAGCATGCTGTCACGTAGGCGATGAGATATGCCGCCAGGAGGGTCGGTTGGGTTCGGTGGTGGAAGGGTAGGTAGTGCTGACTCTGGGCGCTGCTCTTGAGGGTCTAAGTTTGGTTTGGCTGGTGTCGGTGGCGAGGGTGTAGGTGGTTGCTCGTCGTTGGACCTGGTTGAGTGCCCCAGCGCGACATCGCTGACACGAGAGCAAGGCATCGGCCACCCTCCCGTCGGAGGCATGCTCTCGCGTCTTCGCACCTGCAAGGGGGAGTCAACCCGCAGCTGCTCGGGGAGAGCAGGTCCGTCCGTCGACGGCCTTGCAGAGTGAGGCGACCCCGCGCTGACACGCCAACGCGGGTAGGTCCTGGTCGGTACGTTGTGTTGTTTGGACTCGTCAGAGCGTGGAGTCTGCTCTGCTGATGTGTACCGAGGCGCTGCCCTCCAAGTAGTACGCGACCTCGGACAGCTGCTGCGCTCTCGGCTCGGGCACTCGCTGGCGGAGCCCAAGTCCTGCTCTTCAGGATGTTCCGCTCCAGGGGGCTGAGTGCTATCTGGCCGTGCTTCGTCCTCGCAGATGCTGCTGTCCGCAAGCGCCTCGAAGGAGTTCTTGATCAGCGGCACTCCAAAGTCTGGTCGCATCTCCACCCTGAGCGCCTGTCTTAGTAATCTTTTGCGCCTCGCCACTCTTCTTTCTCTTGCAACAGCTGTGGCGTCGTTGAGGTGCGGTTCTGCTGATGTAGGGCTGTAGCTTTTGCTGTCAAGGTATGTGTCCTGTATTTGCTCTAGCTCGTAGGCTTGTATGGGTCCATGCTGTATCTGTCGATTGTAGTCAGTGCTTGGTTGTGTCGTGGTACCTGCATTTAATTTGGCTGACGCTGGTGGACTAGCCAGCCCTCCAGGGGTCTTTGTGCTTGCCATGTGGTCTGCTTGCGAGCCCAGGTGGCTGGAGTCGAGAGGTTGGCGGGCAAGCCAGGCTCCGTCGACTGCAAGCGAGGGGTGCACCTCGAGTACCCGGCGCTGGGAGACCTCCAGATGTAATAGATCTGGTAGTCTCGACCTGCTGCCTGGGTCCTCCCTCGCATGGCTGTGCTGCCTGGGCTGCGACGCCGCATGGGCCGCCGCGGCTCCCGCGAAGTGGGATGTCGAACCAGGCGTGGCCAAGGGGTGTCGCCTTGGTCCACGCTGTTGGCACTGCGTCGGACTGCTCGAGTAGCTCTCCCACTCTTGTTGCAGCCTCACCCTGTCGCGGTGCTGGTTGCTTGTCTGAACCCCGCTGGCAGTGGGGCTCGCGGCCTGAGGGAGTCGCTCAGGTCCGCGCTTGGAGCGCTCAGACTTGATGTCGCCGTTCTGTGGGTGGTCCCCACCCTTGCCCACAGACGCGGCGTCTAGGGAGCTGGTAGTGCAGGTAGTTCGTCTGCTACGTCTTACATACATACATACATACATACATACATACATACATACAGACAGACAGACAGACAGACAGGCAGACAGACATACATACATACATGCATGCATGCATGCATGCGCTCCTGCTCCTACTCCTACTCCTACTCCTACTCCTCCTCCTCTACCTCCTCCTCCTCCTCTACCTCCTCCTCCTCCTCCTCCTCCACCTCCTCCTCCTCCTCCTCCTCTTCCACCTCTTTCGCCTCCTCCTCGTCCTCCTCCTCCTCCTCCTCCTCCTCCTCCTCCTCCTCCTCCTCCTCCTCCTTCCTCCCTCCTGAGAAGGCACGGGGTCTTCTCAGAAGCCCTCCTGGCCTCCAAGGCGCCCCCTCGGGCCGTTCGCCCCACAACGGGGTGGTGACCACACCGTGTGGTGAGTCGGTGGGCATCCGGGGTTACCGCACGGTTTGGGACTCCAGTCGTTCTCCAAGGCCTTGGGGGATTCGAGGTCACCGCACGGTCTGTCACCGCACCGTTTCGGGACTCCAAAAGCTGCTCACCTACACGGACTCGCAGGTCCCCGGGGGGCCCGATTTCCTGGGAGACTTTCCAGGTGATTTCCGAGGGGCAAGCTTTGCCTTGAGATATTCTTGAGTTCTGTGGGGCGTCCAAGATTTGTTTCAGAGATTTTGGTTCGGACATGTAATCTAGGCACTCCCCCGATCGAACCCTACTGGTGGCCTCCCCCCGGCACTGCCCCACCATTGGGAAGCTGTTCACCTACACGGACTCGCAGGTTCCCTTCCGCTACGTGCACATACTGAGTTTCATCGTGTGGGTGCACAACCTCGTCCAGGCGCTCGCGTCCGCCGTCCGCCTCGCGTTCGAGTGGAAGCACGGCGCGAGCTCCGGGATCCTGTCGGAGATCGTGTTCCTGATCTTCTACCCCGTGCTGTATACGAGCCTTCTGCACGTGGGTGTGGGCATGCTGAATCCGATGCGCTCCGCCTCGGATGTCGACTTCCCTCGTGCAGCCTTTACGTCCTACATCCGAAGATCGAAGATCAGCAGACACATGCACTTCGAGATGTCTGGGCGGATTTCTTGGATCTGCGCTGGACCCCCTCCCTAGCGCGCGAAGCCCAGCGCATCTTACTTGGCATCGCTCGGGCGTGTCCCTTTTTTTTTTTGGGGGGGGGGGGCAGGACCATCGAGAAACATCCTGGATCCTCTTGCGAAGCATACACGCGCGACATTGACATATGCACGGGTAACGGACGTCCGATCGATGGCAAGCTTAGCGCCGATTCAGAAAATCTGTGTGGACCTCCGCAAGCTCATGGTCATGCTGTTGTTTGTTCCTCTGCGCATGCTGGCGGAGAACCGCTCCTTCGGCCGCAGCTGCGCCCCGCCGGCCGGGCCGCCGTACTGCCCGGGCCGCCCCCCAGTGTGGCGGCGCGGAGAGGCTGCCGGCCTGTGACGCAGCACCCGCGAGGGCCAGGCTCCCAGCGCGGAGGCGCATCCTCCGCATGCTCTCTTCGCCTCCGCCTTCCCCCTCCTCCTCCTCCTCCTCCTCCTCCCCCTCCTCCTCCTCCTCCTCCTCCTCCTCCTCCTTCCCTTCCTCCTCCCCCTCCTCCTCCTCCTCCTCCTCCTCCTCCTCCTCCTCCTCTTCTCCCCGGGCCTCCGACGTCCGGTGCAGCGGCACGGTCAGGAACGCTTGCTTGGCGTGTCGCGCCGCCCGGTCTGGCCGGCCCACCACGCTCTGGCGCGTCACGGCCAGGCACTCTCCAGTTCTGAGGCGTCAGCGTCCCGAGCTTTTTCCCGGCCTCCGCCCCGCAAAGTGGGGCGACACTCTTTCCGCTGGCACGGCATAGCGTGTCGCCAGGGCCGCCGCCGCGACACGCTCAGCAAAAGTTCCTGGACGTAGGCTCCTGGGGGGATGCATCGACCCCCAAACGCCCACTGATCGCCGACAGGGGCCCGATAACCCACCCCGCCCAGGACTGTGCGGATTTCCCACCGAGGGTGCCTTCCTCCGACCTATCGGCAATGTATCGCCGATTCAGGTCGACGTGCCCCCCCCGAGCCGCAGGAGGGGATGATGATGATGATGATGATGATGATGATGATGATGATGATGATGATGATGATGATGATGATGATGAGGAGGAGGAGGAGGAGGAGGAGGAGGAGGAGGAGGAGGAGGAGGAGGAGGAGGAGGAGGAGGAGGGGCAGGAGGAGGAGGAGGAGGAGGAGGAGGAGGAGGGGCAGGAGGAGGAGGAGGAGGACGAGGAGGAGGGGGAGGAGATGAAGGGCATCCGCAGCGGCGGGGCCCTTCATCTGCTCCTCCTCCTCCTCCTCATCCTCCCCCTCCTCCTCATCGTATTCCTCCTCCTCCTTCTCCTCCTGCCCCTCCTCCTCCTTCTCCTCCTCCTCCTCCTCCTCCTCCTGCTCCTGGGTCATTGCCCCTCACGTCTTGTTCCGCAACCTCTGCGGGCTTGTCCCCGAGATGGACCTCCGAAGGCCGCTCCGAGGGCCCCGAGGGCGGCAGGCACCGAGGGCGGGGCGCAGGCCGAGGAGGCCCCGAACCCTGAGGGGGCCACGGACTGGCAGAACCAGCGCGACGTCGGATGCCTGGGTCCCTCCTCGCGCGTGTCGGCGGAGGGCTGAATTCGGAGCCCCCCAGGCCTGATTGCCGGGGGGCGGGCTGCCGCGCGAGTGTGCCCCGCCGCTCCTCTGGGAGGCGGGCGCCGGCGCCCACGGCCCTGCTCGCCGCGACCCCGCTCCGGGTCGCGGCGGCGCTTTTGCAGAATTGCCATGCGGGCGCGTGCTCCTGGCCAGCAAAGCCGAGCGCTCCTCTCGGGTGCCGTGCGCTCCTCTCTGCTTGCCTCGTTCCCGCGCGTGCCTGGCCGAGTGCGCCCGGGCGGATCCTCGTCGCCGAGCTTCGGGCCGGCCGCTCGAGCAAGAGGGCGGCCCGCAGGTGCGGCTTGGGGCCGGGCAGCTGGACCTGACAGCGTGGACCCCAGACAGCGAGATCTTGCACTCTCGATGTGCCGTTTGACGGTGTTCTCAGCTCGCTCTGAACAGGTGGATCGCTCAAGCGGCGGGGTAAATGTTCCTCCTTCCTTGCCTCCTCCAAGGCCCGCAGCCGCTAGGCGGATTACACGCCCCCTGAACCTACGCGCCCCAGGCCGCGCCCACCACGATTTGTCTTCCTGCACTCGATGTGCAGTCTGAGTATGTGGTGCAATCTATGGGGTGCAGTTAATCTTGACCGTCTTGAAGCTGTCCTCTCCACTGCTCGCGCAAACATCCCACCCACCCACCCGCAACTTGGTCGCAAGACATCTTCAGACAAGACCGTGACGGTAGGTACTACATGGCACTTGACCACGACACCGACGCCGACGACGACAGCGATATCGACGACGCCGGCGCCGCCGACAGCGACTGCGACGACACCGACGACGTCTCCAATGTTTTCGACGACGACAACGACAACGACGACACCGACGACGACGACAACGACGCCGACGACGACGACGAAGACGTCGACGACGTCGCCAACGGAGACGACGACGAGGGAGGAGAAAAAACGACGACGGCGCCAACGACGACAACGACGATGGAGGAGGGAAGACGGCGACGACGACAACAACGAAGAAGGAGGACGGACGGCGACGCCGACGACGACAACGACGAGGGAGGAGGGAAGACGACGACGACAATGACGACGAAGACGACGACGACGGCGACGAAATAGGAGGGACGACGACGAGACTCCGACGACGGACGACGACGACGAGGGAGGAGGATAACGATGAGGGAGGAGTGAAGACCACGACGACGACGACGACGACGGCGACGAAATAGGAGGGACAACGACGAGACGCCGACGAAGACAACGAGGGAGGAAGGACGACCACGGCGACAACGACGACGGAAGCGACGACGACGCCGAGACGACGACGACGACGACGAGGAAAGACAGAAGACGACGACTGCGACGACGACGACGACGAGGGAGGACGGAGGACGACGACGACGACGACGACGACGACGACGCAAGAGCGCGCGCGCACACTTTTGTTGAGAACCCGTGTTGCGAAACCTTGTGTTTTTGTAGGTTTTTTGGAGGCACGATTTCGAAACCCTTCCGAAACCGAAGGTTTTTGAAGGATTTCGGCATACGCCCGCGACGACGCGCGCGTCTGCACTTCGTTTCGTTTTTTTTGCAGAGGATTCTCGCGACGGCACACGCGCAAGGGCGTCCGACAGCTTTCGACATGCGCGCGCGAAGCCCGTTTGGTAGCATTTTTTGAAAATCTTGGAAAACCTATGGTTTTCTTAAGAGTTCGCAAGAGCTCGCGCGGAAGCTTGTTTAGCAAATCAGTGTTGCGAAACTATGTGTATTTGTATGTTTTCTTTGGAAATTCAATTTTGAAATCTCTCCGGAACCGATGGTTTTTGAAGGATTTCGGCATGCGCGCGCGACGACGAGCGCGTGTGCACTTCATCCTCTTTTTTGCAAGGGATTCTCGAAAAAGTGCTATGTTAGAACAAAACATGTCACCGCATAATGTTTCTTTTTTTTACCAGGGACCCTCAGAGGGGGAAACCGGCCTGCCTGGGATGGTATGATTTCATATGTAGGATGGACGAGTGTGCAGACTATATATATACATACATACACACACATATATATATATATATATGAAATCATACTACCCCAGGGAAGGCCGATAAGTCCGGGGGGGGTAGAGTCTATTCTCTTTTTAGCAAGGAGAATTAATTCACTCTGCTGAACTTGAAGTCGTCATCTCCCACCCGCAACTTGGTTTGCAAAACCTGTTAAGACCGACGACGACGACAGCGACGACAACGACGAGGACGACACCGACGGCGTCTCCGACGACTTCGACGACGACAACGGCGCCGACGCCGACGACAACGAAGACGACAACGACGACGACGCCAACGAACGCGACGGCGATGGAGGAGGAAGGACGACGACGGCGACAACGACGACAACGACGACAACGACGAGGGAGGAGGGAGGACGGCGACGACGCGAACGACGACGAAGGAGGAAGGACGGCGACGCCGACGACGACAACGACGAGGGAGGAGGGAAGACGACGACGACAACGACGACGACGACGGCGACGAAATAGGAGGGACGACGACGAGACGCCGACGACGGACGACGACGACGACGTGGGAGGAGGAGGAAGGACAACCACGGCGAAAACGACGACGGAAACGACCACGACGCCAAAGAGGACGACGACAAAGAACACGAGAAAACACAGAGGACGACGTAGGCGACGACGACGACGACGCGGGAGGAGGGAGGACAGCGACGACGACGACGACGACGACGACGACGACGCAAGAGCGCGCGCGCGCACGCTTTTGTTGAAAATCCGTGTTGCGAAACCTTGGTTTTTTGTATGTTCTTTGGACGCACGATTTTGCAATCCTTCCGAAACCGATGGGTTTTGAAGGTTTTCGGCATACGCCCGCGACGACGCGCGCGTCTGCACTTCGTTTCGTTTTTTTTTGGCAGAGGATTCTCGCGACGGCACACGCGCAAGGGCGTCCGACAGCTTTCGGCATGCGCGCGCGAAGCCCGTTTGGTAGCATTTTGCGAAAATCTCGCAAGAGCTCGCGCGGAAGTTTTTTTAGCAAATCAGTGTTGCGATACCATGTGTTTTTGTATGTTTTTTGGGAAACTCGATTGCGAAATCCTTTCGGCACCGAAGGTTTTTGAAGGATTCCGGCATGCGCGCGCGACGACGCGCGCGTGCGCATTTCGTCTCATCTGTTGCAAGGGATTCGTGAAAAAAGTGCTATGTTAGAGCCACAAGTGTCACCGCATGATGTTTTTTTACAAGGGAACTTCAGGGGCGGGAGCCCGGCCTGGCTGGGATTATATGATATCATATTTAGGATGGACGAGTGTGCAGAATAGCTATATATATACATATATATATGGAATTATACTATCCCAGGGGGAACCTATAGGTCCGGGGGGGGGGGGTAGAGTCTATTCTCTTTTTAGAAAGGAGAATCCACTTTGACCGTCTTGAAGCTGTCCTCTCCACTGCTCGTGCAAACATCCCACCCTCCCACCCGCAATTTGGTCGCAAGACCTCTTAAGACAAGACCGTGACGGTAGGTACCACATGGCAGTTGGCCACGACACCGACGCCGACGACGACAGCGACAACGACGACGACGGCGCCGCCGACACCGACTACGACGACACCGACGACGTTTCCAATGACTTCGACGACGACAACGACGACGACAACGACGACGACGACACCGACGACGACGACGACAACGACGCCGACGACGACGACGATGACAACGACGACGACGCCGACGACGACGACGCCGACGTCGACGACGAAGACAACGACGACGACGACAACGACGCCGCCAACGAAGACGACGACGACGACGACGACGACGACGACGACGACGACGACGACGAGGGAGGAGGGAGGACGACGACGACAACGACGGCAACGACGAGGGAGGAGGGAGGACGGCGACGACGCGAACGACGAATAAGGAGGGAGGACGGCGACGCCGACGACGACAACGACGAGGGAGGAGGAAAGACGACGACAACGACGACGACGACGGCGACGAAATAGGAGGGACGACGACGAGACGCCGACGACGGACGACGACGTCGGAGGAAAACGACGACCACGGCGACAACGACGACGGAAACGACGACGACGCCAAGACGACGACGACGACGAGAACAGACAGAGAACGACGACGCCGACGTCGACGACGGAGGAGGGAGGACGGCGACGACGACGACGACGACGACGACGACGACGCAAGAGCGCGCGCGCACGCTTTTGTTGAAAATCCGTATTGCGAAAATAGGGCGGTCGGAGAGGGCTATTGGTGCGTGTTGTTGGATGGGGGTCCCCGCTCGAACGGGAGCGTTCCCCAGGGTCCGACAATCCGCACCCATTCCCATAGCCAGTCCTCCTCCCAACGACCCCCCTATTGGGTATGGGTGTGTGTTGTTCGTTCATCAGGACGGGGTTGCTCGATTAAACCATGCGCCGAAAGGATGCTGTAGCTGTCGGCCTTCAGCGCCGACTGACAGAACCGTTCACGACTGTTTGCGCCACTAGTCGACCCGATCCGATCCGCAGTGCGAGATGAACGATGACCGACGGCCCATTCCTTGGCATCTCCTCTCGTTCCGCGCGAGCCCGCGGAGGATGGACGAGTCGCCCGACACTGCCATGTACTCGGAGCCCCGCTTTGTGCAGCACTTGGACGATGCCTCCCTGGACAGGTTGACCGAGGCCCTGCCGCGCAGGAGGACGATGATGAGGACAATGATGACAGACGAACACCACGCACCCATACCCAAAGAGGGGCTCGGAGGGAGAGACTGGCTATGGGTATGGATGTGGGTTGTCGGACCGCCGGGGAGGCTCCCTTTCGAGCGGGGACCCCCCTCCGACAGCACGCACCCATAGCTCCCTCCGTCTCCCCTATGGGTATGTGTGTTCTTCTTAGGCGATCGCAAACATGGATCAAGGGGGCGTGGATTAGCGACGGGTCCTGTTTCGATAGGAAATCGCGGATTCCCGCCGCCGAGCGAGGCGGAACCGGCCGCATTTTGGGGAGGGCACTTCCCCCGATCCATGGACTTGGCGACCGCGCGCCAAATCCATGGATCGCGAATCCATGTTTGCGTGCCTCCGATGTTCGTTCGTCAAATGAGGGCAGGGGCGAGGATGACGAGGACGAGCTTTAGGCTGTTGGGTCAGCACTGGGCCCAGGTCTTCTGCGCCAGGCACGCGCTGCCAAAGCTTGGCGAGGCGCCCTGCCGCGTGGTCGTCCCCACGCTGGGCGCTGGCGCTCCGGACCACGATTCCCCCCCCCTCGCAGGGAGGAGGAAGTCGGGGGCGGCAAAGAGGGGGGTGATGACTAGGGGGGGGATAGTTATCATGGCGTGGGCCGTGATATTTCCCCAGATTCCATGGCGCCTCTTCTTGTTTCGTTATGTCCGTGGGGCCCCCCCCTGGGCCGCGCACATGCCGCCGGCCATGGTTTGCACCCCCCCCCT